ACGCCACCCATTTGTAAACATTAGGTAACTCATGTTATCTCGGCCGCAGCGTTACATAGCCCCTCGAAATGTTCAGACTTTACCGAATAGCAGGAGTTTTGTGCAGAGACCTGAGGACAAATAAGATATGCAATTCACTATGTCATTCCCAGTATATAGAGAGCAGAGTGAGCGCAAATAATACAAATGCATTGTACCGGACTCTTCACTATTCATGTAAAAGTGCTCCGACCCTCCTCAGGATACTCGCCCCAAGCGGGAGTCAGCCTTTGGCATTGTCATCTACTCAAGTATTTAACACCCAAGTATATTTGACGAGGGGGATCCATCAGAGTCAGAAGGCCTTCAATAATGACTTTGGTAGCAAGCCTATGAGTCAAGGTACAAAATCGACTTTATACTATATTGCTGCAGTGGGAGTTTTAGCACTTGGTCTAAGTTACGCAGCAGTTCCACTCTACCGAATATTTTGTCAGGTTAGTTATCGGTCCTAAATGGATCCTATAATTTACTGGTTAATTACACAATCACATCAGCTCCATATCTTCACATTGATTACACAGAATTCTCATCTCTTTATGATATCTTAGTTTTCAGTTTTCATTTGACTGAAGTGTTCATGATTAACAGCAAGATGAATTTTCAGGGAAAGTCTCTATAGATGGATGAAAACTTTTATGAGTTTTTTATAATTATCTCTTTTTACACACACAGCAGTAGACTACCTTGAAGGGATGGGGGGTTTCATGTATATAATTGGTTTGTTGTTTGATGAATGTAATTGATATTTAAACCCCATTTTTTTCATTGAGAAACAGTAGTGAGGGGGAGAGGTAAATAGGTCAGTTAACAAATATAAACATTAAAAAATGGCTTAAAAGCTAAAAACACATATGCAGACTTTCTCAGGTTTGATTGATCTTTACAGTGATTTTAATACAGGAATAAAAAATGGCCATTTACAGGCATACAGCTATGGAGGGACCACCCAGCAAGGTCATGATGCTGACAAGGTTGAATCCATGCAGAAAAGAGAAGATCGTATCCTGAGAATTCGCTTTAATGCAGACACAGCAGCTTCTATGACATGGAATTTTAAACCACAGCAGAGCGAAATAAAGGTAATTAATTTTATGTAAAATTTGTTACTTTTACTAAAAGCTGGTGAATAATTAACACTTCAGAAGAGATCTCAGAGTTGATATAACTATTTTACATTTTCAGTTGTACAATATACTTACTTGTCCTTTCTGACAACAGGTTGCTCCAGGAGAAACAGCTTTAGCTTTCTACACTGCAAGAAATCCTACAGATCGTCCAGTTATCGGTGTCTCCACCTACAATGTTATTCCTTTTGATGCTGGTCTTTACTTTAATAAAATACAATGCTTCTGCTTTGAAGAGCAGTTACTCAACCCCCATGAAGAGGTTAGTGAAATGAAATCACATAGTTTATAGCATTATGTGTCTATTTGTCTAGAAGAATATACAAATCTAATTTAATTGTTCATCAGAACTTCCCTCAGTGTTGAATATGATTAAGAGTAATTCATTATACTGCCACTGATGTAATTGTTAAAAACTTTAATCTTCTGTTTTTCTTAGTACTTTTGATACCAGAGAGATTCATTAGTAATGGTATTGTATGAAAAGTATACTTGCTGTGTTGCATTACACTAAAGAGGAAAATAGTTATTTAGGATAGACTGCAACAGCATTTCGACAGTTAGTCTTTTTGGTGATTCATTTCAGTTTCACAGATATTGTTGGTATTGATTTGTTATGGATGTTTTTTGCAAGGGCTTTGATTATTAGTTTTAACATCAAAGCATTGTCAGTTCTTTTAGTTTCTTTGTTACATCTCTCATTGTGATATCCTTTCCTTAAGTTCTGAAATGCCAGTTAAAAACTTCTAAAAAGTAAAAAAGAAACATTTTGTCTTGAATCCAGTAGCCCTTAGATTACATCATGAAACTATTAGTATACAGTAGGTAGAATAACTTGACTTTTACTTATTACCAGATATTAGTTCATAATTTGAAATGTCATATGGCTATTTTTTCTACTTCTTATTCACCTCCCCCAGCTAGTGTATAGCTCATACCAAATGCCACTCTCAAGTATCTTTCACTGCAGGGTTTACCAGACCCTGCATTTCTTAGCAAAAAAATAGGGCATAAGCCTTACAGTATTGATACAAAGATTTATTTTAAAATATGCTTAAAAACAGTGACTGGTGTAATCCATCCAGGTATTGAGCTATTGCCTTGTCATCTACTATAACTAGCCATTGAAATACTTTCAATGGCTAGTTATAGCCATTGCTTTATTTAACTCTGGAACCAGACATGGATCAGGGATTATCATGCTTTTGGCCAGATCTGGTAATGTGTTTTGAGGGACAATGGGAATTTATGTTGCAAGATCTTAGAAATTTGTAAAATGTTTATGTAATTGTAATTTCACTAAAAATGTCATTTGTTTTATTGTTGATGTCACAAGGTTCTTTAATTTGTTCTACCATTTTTCTTCAAACCCCTCTGACTCTATCTATTCTTAAGTCAAGGATGACTGTAGATACAATTTTTTTCATTTTGCTAGCTTGTTCTCAAACTCATATGGCTCTAACCACCATTTTCTTTTTATAATAGCATTGCCTTCAGCATTCCAATGGGATAATCCAATACTTCTCCCACATATGAGGTAGCTCCTGAGCTGGTTCACTCTTCAGCAAGGTCAAATCCAATGTTTACTGCATTATGAATAATCTAGCTATCATTTCCATACATAACTCCCCAGCTCTCTGTGAAAAAGTGGCCCATCCCTTGCTCTTTATGTTATTATTTCTTCAGTTCTTATTTAAATGATCTTCTAGGTTGTGTGCCTAGCCCTCTTTTTCAGCCATGTGTCTTTCCTGTATAGTTTTTCTCTTTCATTGATTATGTTTACTTTTCAAAGGAAGGTGTTTTGGACTAGGCAAGAATGTTTATTCCCAACTCAGAATACTTATAAGTTTATAGAAAATAAATGTATACTTTTGCTTTCCAGGTACACATGCCTGTGTTCTTCTACATTGACCCAGAGTTTGCAGATGATCCCAAAATGGAGGGCGTCGATACATTGACTTTATCCTACACCTTCTTTGAAGCACGTGAAGGTGTGCCACTACCAATCCCCAATTTTGCAAGGAAATAGTTTGATGATTATTATTATAATTATTGTTATCATTATTAAGAAGACACCTGGAAATTTTTAACAAGTTTGCTCCCCACCCCAAAAAAAATATATATATATGCCAAGGTATTGCATAAAGCTTAAGCTTTTGCTTTAATCAATAAAGATCTAATTGTGACTGTGAGTCAGTTTGGTTGGTCTTTGGAAGGGAATTTGAGGTTGGGAAGGTAATTCATGATAGGTAATGCCATGAGAACTTGTTTTACACATCCAGAAAATTATATTACAAGCAATGATGTAACAGTATTATAATCGGTATCACAATTATATAATTCATAGAAATTTGATTATGTTACATCTTAATTCCTGATTCAAACAACAAATCATTTGGATTATTTTACAGAAACCTATATTTTGCATTGACAAATATCAAGATCTTACTTTTTGTCATGTATTACCTAATTTGATATGTTAAAAAATATATCAGAGGTTGAATTGCTCTGGCCCAATCAAAATACCATAGGAATAGATTAATTAGATAGAGAAAGTTTCTTTTAAATACAGAAGGTTTCTGTTGAGGATAATATAATTACCAAAATAATAGGGAAATTCTGGATACTTGTCATATAAGCAAGTTTATTACTTGAAGATAGTACTGGAATATTGCAACTTTCACAGGGGGAGAGTTACAGAGAAATTTATACAAAAAAGCTACTTGTGTATATATGTATATTGCATTATCATAAATTATTAAATACACCAAATATGATATTGTTTCTATTTCATAGCGGTTTTTATGATTATTTAAAGATGTACATAAACAAATTAGATGGTAATTGTTGTTATATTTAGTTGCATTTCATTATCCCACTTTTAGGTTTGTCCAAGACTTACAGCTGCTCAAAATACTCCGCCCAACTTTCACGAACCCCAACATGATATGAGATGATCTGTCCACCCACTGAGCAGACTGTAGTCTGTGAGGAGGGCTTAGAGTTTAGTTTGGTTCTCAAGGCTTGGTAGGCAGGGCAATGGTTAGTCGATAGAGATAGTAAATTACAGTCAGAAAAATTGTGAAAGAGAAGGAACAAAGAGAGTATATGTGTTTTAAGGCAAAAAGGCATGTGTACATTTATGTAGTAAGGACACTGGACTAAGGAGGGAGAGGGTATTAGAATGTTCAAGTAGGGAAGACTACTATGAAACTAGCACTGGAGATGGATATGAAGCCATCATTGTAAATGTGGATTCTGGAGGAATGAGTGGAGACATGGTCAAGAAAATGAGTGAAAAGTATAGAAGGGTAAAAGTAATGGGAAAGGTGGTTGTAAAGCCCCCACTATTACTACATGACGTTAAATCATTCATCCACATATGATCCATGATCTTTGCTGACTTATGCATCACACTTGTTGCTTTAGAAATTACTGTGAAAAAAAAGAAAAAGATTCACAAGATCCCGGACAGTTTTGTCATCATTTGCTTTCAATATTTTGAGGTTAGAATATCCATTTACCATGCATAAGGTTTTTTTTAACGTTTAATCATCAGCTAACCCCCCCGCTTACCGTTTTCACCAATACACCTTCCTATGGTCCTATATGACCTTTGATATCTAGCACAGACGGAGGAATGTTTGATATGTGTGGATCTGGGTAAACAAAAGAGCAATTACAGAAGGAAGGTATTAGCCAGGGATGGAAGGATTGGGCAGAAAGAGTAAGGGATTGGAGACGAGGAAAGGGTGAATGGAAAAACAGAGCATCCATACAAACAGGGAAAAGGGTAGGTAAACGTGGAGAGGAGGAGAAGGTACGAATGGTTTGAGTGAGGGACAGTTACCTTAAAGAGATAAATTTTGTGAAAACGAACTTAGTTTCTTAGAGACAAAAGGGGGCGACATTGAGAAAGGGATATCAGGACTGTTTCAGTACATAGGCTCTCAACTGGAGAGGATTGACCAGATTACCGGTGGAAGAGCTGAACCTAATCCGTTTACAGTATTGAGAAGTAGTGAGGCATTGAGCACACTACCTTGTGGGACACCTTCAAATTAAGGCAAAGAAGAGGAAGTAGAAGAGGCAAATCTGACACAGAAGGTGTAATCAGAAAGAAAGGATTTTATGAAAACACCCATGCTATAGGAAGATAGTTGTTGAGGGATATAGTACCGCCATGTGGTATCATATGCCTTTTCTAGATCGAAGAAGACAGCCAGTACTGAAACACGGCATGCAAAGGCTGATGTGATTTGTGTTTCAAAATAGGCTAGGGGATCAACTGTGCTTCGGTTGCAAGGAAATCCAAACTGATTTGGAGAGATAAGGTTGAGATGTTCGAGGTACCATATAAGCTGGATGTTAACCATCCTTTCTAGTAATTTGGTAAGCAGCTTGTGATTGCTATGAGATGGTAGTTTTGAGGAAGGGTACCAGGTTTGTTTGGTTTTAAAAAAGGTTGTACAAGGGCTTCTCACCAGTGGGGAGGAAAGTTTCCAGTCGTCTATATGTTATTGAATATTGAAAAAATGAAAAACGAAAAATGAAAGAGGTGCATTTTAAAAAATATGCAGAGAACAGGGAGATGATGATTTTATGGAAGAGATGGTGAAAGCTGCTACTGACCTAGCTAAAATAGGTACCCAGTTCAGTAGCTACTTGAACAGGGTCAGAGATGAGTCTATTGTCAATATGAAGGATGGGCTTGTTCGTCTTGTAACGGTAGCTTTTCCAAGCTGCACACTTTAACCGTACAATCTAAGTTCCACCATGAAACACATTTTGATGCATTAGGTTGGGAAATTTGAAAAGAAGGATGAAGATCAAGGGTAGAGAGAGTGGTAAAGGTATGCCAGTCAGCTCTATCAAAGCACCAGCGAGGGAGGTTAGAAAGTGGGACATAGGAAGTAAGAGAAAGGAGAATAGGGAAGTGATGACTATAAAGAGGGTGGTCTAGTACTGACCAATGGGGGTCTAGACGAAGGGAAGGAGAGCAAAGAGAAAGAAGTGGGTACGCACATCAAAGAGGGTGGGGCAGTTTGAATTTAGGAGGAAAAGGACAGTATTTGAAAGTGTTATAAGGAAACGACCTCGGGAAGTGATGGTGGAGTTACCCAAAGGGTGTAGCGACAGTTAAAATCAACTATCAGGAAAGGTGGTTGGAGCTGGGAAAGTAAGGTTTCGAAGGCTATAGAGTAATTTGGATAATAAAGGGAGAAGTAAAATGAAAAAATTGTGATCCAACGGCAGAAAAAATGCAAATAACAGTGCAAGGTATAGTAGTTTGTAAGGGAAGTATATCATATGGTGTTTTATGATGGACAAGTATGCAGGAAGCAGGTAGAGTGAGGGGATGATACAAAATGGTAATTGGGATTTGGTACTGGAGAATGCGTGAGGAAGGTAGGGGGAATATGAGGAGGAGGCTGGATGTTAGCAGTTACTTTAAATATAGATGGAATGGGGGTAGAGGAATTGGAGGATGGTTCAGAGAGAGGTTTTCTGGAGGGGAGTTGGGTGGGGAGGTTTGAGAAACGAAGGATTTTTTTTATAGGGAGGTGAAGAAGAGATAGGCATTTCAGGAGTACATGTAGATGTAGGGATTGATGTGGAAGGTGAAGATGAGGTGGAACGTTGTCTAGCTTGTCTAGTGCGATAGGTGAAACGAGGAGGAGTAGACAGGACGGTTGAGTTAGTAGTTAGTTGCTATACATCGACAATCTTGAGTAATATTGGAAAAGTTAAAAATGGGCTAAGGAGTTGATGAGTGAATGGGTTAAGGTAGGATTAGGTAAGTGGGATTAGATCATATGAAGGATATGTTTGCATCTGAAGAAGTACAGATTGTCAAAGCAGAAAGTGTGTGATTCCGTAAGGATGTCTGACAGGATGGGAGGTCAGTGAAGGGAGGATAGGCGGGGAAAAGCAGAAGTACGGGCTGTACCAAAATGTGGACAGGACAACAAAATATGTGGAACTGAAAGAGAAACAATATATAGGGAAGATAGGGGCGGATTAGAACGTGATGTAAGATGGGATGTGTTGGACGGGTGTGGCCAATACATAAGCAGCGAGAGCAGTTTTCCAACGTCTTTTCCGAGGAAATGAAGCTGCCTAGGAGATTGATAGTTTTACAGTATGTAATTTATTAGTGCAAAGACTCGACCAGAAAGATTGCCATTGGGTATAATGGAAGATCTTAAAGTGTGAGTAATAATCCGTGGCTGGAAAACGTGAGAAACGTGGCTGGTGTGATGTTTACTTACTGGCTGAGTGTGCAAGAGTATCCGTTTGTTAATTTTCTGAGGATTCAAATGGCTGGGCACCCATCAAAGACAATTTGGGTAGAGCAGAAGGGAGAGGAGCGATGGATAGCATTAGAGTACGGAGTGATAAAAAACCTTGTAAATGTGCTTAGTATCTAGAGTAAGACTAGGTTTGTATCTGAGAACTCTAGGGAGAACAGTATACAAGGGGGCTTCAAAAAGTTTGTGGAAAAGGTCCATAACTAAAAATCATATGGAAGGATTTTTATTTCAGTGCACCTGAACATTCTTTTACCAATGTGTTATAACGTGTTCAAACATGAACCCTTAAATGCAGGTAATAACACATCGCCGCCAAGTGGAAATCAGGCACCAGCAACATGGAATCCACCAAAATTGAGGCCAGGAAAAACATTAAATTCATGGTGAAACTCGGTTCAGAGAATAGATAAATCAGTGAGGCTCCATAACAGGTTTATGGTGACAATGCCGCAAAGAAATCAACAACCTGCTAATAGCCTCCGGGCTAGTAAATGTTGCAATTGTCGCCTGGAGGTTACTGCTGTGACTGGGCACCAAGGCGGGTAAGGACTAAGCTGAGTCAGCACCAGCTGACACTGTTAGCTGTTAGCCTGGGCAAGGCTCAGCTTCACATATCGAACATATCCTTACCTGCTAATGGATAAGTTGGTTCAGAAGTGGAAGAAGCAAAGTTGAAGATGAGCTCTGCAGTGGCAGGCCATCAACGTCAGTTAGTGAGGAAAACACTGATGCTGTTCGTGACATGATTGAAAAGGATAGACGTATAACCACTGAATCAGTAGCAGACAAACTCAACATCTCTGTGGGTCCTGCCCACACAATTCTGGTGAAGAGTTAGGGGCTAAGCAAGCTTTCCACTCAATGGATCCCTAGACTGTTGCACCCATATTAAAATCTCAGAATAACACCCTGGAAAGCTGCACCAACACATTCACCATGACAATGCACCCACTCACAACGCTTGGAAATGAGCTGTGCTACATGAATTCAGATGGGAATTCGTCCAACTTAGCCTAGTCTGATTTTTTTTTGTTTCCAAACTTCAAAATATCATTGAAAGTTACAAATTTTCCATCGGTTGAAGATGTAAAAAGAGCTGCTTTGACATGGTTCAGATCATAACTTTTAACACATTGGTACAAGAATGTTCAGGTGCACTGAAATCAAAATCCTTCCATATGATTTTTAATTATGGACTTTTTCCACAAACTTTTTGAAGCCCCCTTGTAGTACTGAAGTGATACTGCATCATAGTCAGTGGGGCAGGCAAGTAGGTCATCTTCACAGTCTGACCACTCCTTGTCGTAGACAGGACAATCAGCTGAGGAAATGGAAAATGTTCTGTACAATTATTGTACAATTATACCTGACATCAGAGGTTACACAGTTTTATAATAAAGTCTTGTAGCAAAAGTGGTATATAAGAGTTAACGATGTGGATAAGTGGACAGAAGGGGATGAGGAAGAGAAGAAAAAGGAAAGGAGAAGAAAAGACCCTGCAAAATTTGTTGAGGCAAGGACAAGGTAGGGGTAATCCCT